GCATGGGAGTGCGGGGAGGCATGGGAGTGCGGGAGAGCATGGGAGTGCGTGAGAGCATGGGAGAGCATGGAGTGCGGGAGAGCATGGGATGCAGGAGAGCATGGGAGTGCAGGAGAGCATGGGAGTGCGGGAGAGCATGGGAGTGCGGGAGAGCATGGGAGTGCGGGAGAGCATGGGAGTGCAGGAGAGCATGGAGTGCAGGAGAGCATGGGAGTGCGGGAGAGCATGGGAGTGCGGGAGAGCATGGGCGTGCGGGAGAGCATGGGAGTGCGGGAGAGCATGGGAGTGCAGGAGAGCATGGGAGTGCAGGAGAGCATGGGAGTGCAGGAGAGCATGGGAGTGCGGGAGAGCATGGGAGTGCGGGGAGAGCATGGGAGTGCGGGAGAGCATGGGAGTGCAGGGAGAGCATGGGAGTGCAGGAGAGCATGGGAGTGCGGGAGAGCATGGGAGTGCGGGAGAGCATGGGAGTGCGGGAGAGCATGGGAGTGCGGGAGAGCATGGGAGTGCAGGAGAGCATGGGAGTGCAGGAGAGCATGGGAGTGCGGGAGAGCATGGGAGTGCGGGAGAGCATGGGAGTGCGGAAGCATGGGAGTGCAGGAGAGCATGGGAGTGCGGGAGAGCATGGGAGTGCGGGAGAGCATGGGAGTGCGGGAGAGCATGGGAGGGCGGGAGAGCATGGGAGTGCGGGAGAGCATGGGAGTGCGGGAGAGCATGGGAGTGCGGGAGAGCATGGGAGTGCGGGAGAGCATGGGAGTGCGGGAGAGCATGGGAGTGCGGGAGAGCATGGGAGTGCGGGGAGAGCATGGGAGTGCGGGAGAGCATGGGAGTGCGGGAGAGCATAGGGAGTGCGGGAGAGCAGGGAGTGCGGGAGAGCATGGGAGTGGCGGGAGAGCATGGGAGTGCGGGAGAGCATGGGAGTGCGGGAGAGCATGGGAGTGCGGGAGAGGCATGGGAGTGCGGGAGAGCATGGGAGTGCGGGAGAGCATGGGAGTGCGGAGAGCATGGGAGTGCGGGAGAGCATGGGAGTGCGGGAGAGCATGGGAGTGCGGGAGAGCATGGGAGTGCGGAGAGCATGGTGCGGAGCATGGGGCGGGAGAGCAATGGGAGTGCGGGAGAGCATGGGAGTGGCTAGGAGAGCATGGAGTGCGGGAGAGGCATGGGAGTGCGGGAGAGCAATGGGAGTGCGGGAGAGCATGGGAGTGCAGGAGAGCATGGGAGTGCAGGAGAGCATGGGAGTGCGGGGAGAGCATGGGAGTGCGGGAGAGCATGGGAGTGCGGGAGAGCATGGGAGTGCGGGAGAGCATGGGAGTGCGGGAGAGGCATGGAGTGCGGGAGAGGCATGGGAGTGGCGGAGAGCATGGGAGTGCGGGAGAGCATGGGAGTGCGGGAGAGGCATGGGAGTGCGGGAGAGCATGGGAGTGCGGGAGAGCATGGGGAGTGCAGGAGAGCATGGGAGTGCAGGAGAGCATGGAGTGCGGGAGAGCATGGGAGTGCGGGAGAGCATGGGAGTGCAGGAGAGCATGGGAGTGCAGGAGAGCATGGGCGTGCGGGAGAGCATGGGAGTGCGGGAGAGCATGGGAGTGCGGGAGAGCATGGGAGTGCGGAGGGAGTGCAATGGGAGAGCATGGGAGTGCGGGAGAGCATGGGAGTGCGGGAGAGCATGGGAGTGCGGGAGAGCATGGGATTGCGGGAGAGCATGGGAGTGCGGGAGAGCATGGGAGTGCGGGAGAGCATGGGAGTGCGGGAGAGCATGGGAGTGCGGGAGAGCATGGGAGTGCGGGAGAGCATGGGAGTGCGGGAGAGCATGGGAGTGCGGGAGAGCATGGGAGTGCGGGAGAGCATGGGAGTGCGGGAGAGCATGGGAGTGCGGGAGAGCATGGGAGTGCGGGAGAGCATGGGGAGTGCGGGAGAGCATGGGAGTGCGGGAGAGCATGGGAGTGCAGGAGAGCATGGGAGTGCGGGAGAGCATGGGAGTGCGGGAGAGCATGGGAGTGCGGGAGAGCATGGGAGTGCAGGAGAGCATGGGAGTGCAGAGAGCTGAGTGCGGGAGAGCAATGGGAGTGCGGGAGAGCATGGGAGTGCGGGAGAGCAGGGGAGTGCGGGAGAGCATGGGAGTGGCGGGAGAGCATGGGAGTGCGGGAGAGCATGGGAGTGCGGGAGAGCATGGGAGTGCGGCGGAGAGCATGGGAGTGCGGGAGAGCATGGGAGTGCGGGAGAGCATGGGAGTGCGGTGGAGAGCATGGGAGTGCAGGAGAGCATGGGAGTGCAGGAGAGCATGGGAGTGCGGGAGAGCATGGGAGTGCGGGAGAGCATGGGAGTGCAGGAGAGCATGGGAGTGCAGGATGAGCATGGGCGTGCGGGAGAGCATGGGACGTGCGGAGAGAGCATGGGAGTGCGGGAGAGCATGGGAGTGCGGGAGAGCATGGGATGTGCGGGAAGAGCATGGGAGTGCGGGAGAGCATGGGAGTGCGGGAGAGCATGGATTGCGGGAGAGCATGGGAGTGCGGAGAGAGCATGGGAGTGCGGGATGAGGAGCATGGGAGTGCGGGAGAGCAGGGAGTGCGGGACGAGCATGGGAGTGCGGGAGAGCATGGGAGTGCGGGAGAGCAATGGGAGTGCGGGCGAGAGCATGGGAGTGCGGGAGAGCATGGGAGTGCGGGAGAGCATGGGAGTGCCAGTAGCGCTGGGAGTGCGGGAGAGCATGGAGTTGCGGGGAGAGCATGGGAGTGCGGGAGAGCATGGGATGTGCGGGAGAGCATGGAGGCGGAGAGCATGGAGGCGGAGAGAGCATGGGAGTGCGGAGAGCATGGGAGTGCGGGAGAGCATGGGAGTGCGGGAGGAGCATGGGAGTGCGGGAGAGCATGGGAGTGCGGGAGAGCATGGAGTGCGGGAGAGCATGGGAGTGCGGGAGAGCATGGGAGTGCGGGAGAGCATGGGAGTGCGGGGAGAGCATGGGAGTGCGGGGGAGAGCATGGGAGTGCGGGAGAGCATGGGAGTGCAGGAGAGCATGGGAGTGCGGGAGAGCATGGGAGTGCGGGAGAGCATGGGAGTGCGGGAGAGCATGGGAGTGCGGGAGAGCATGGGGAGTGCGGGAGAGCATGGGAGTGCGGGAGAGCATGGGAGTGCGGGAGAGCATGGGAGTGCGGGAGAGCATGGGAGTGCGGGAGAGCATGGGAGTGCGGGAGAGCATGGGAGTGCGGGAGAGCATGGGAGTGCGGGAGAGCATGGGAGTGCGGGAGAGCATGGGAGTGCGGGAGAGCATGGGAGTGCGGGAGAGCATGGGAGTGCGGGAGAGCATGGGAGTGCGGGAGAGCATGGGAGTGCGGGAGAGCATGGGAGTGCGGGAGAGCATGGGAGTGCGGGAGAGCATGGGAGTGCGGGAGAGCATGGGAGTGCGGGAGAGCATGGGAGTGCGGGAGATGCATGGGAGTGCGGGAGAGCATGGGAGTGCGGGAGAGCATGGGAGTGCGGGAGAGCATGGGAGTGCGGGAGAGCATGGGAGTGCGGGAGAGCATGGGAGTGCGGGAGAGCATGGGAGTGCGGGAGAGCATGGGAGTGCGGGAGAGCATGGGAGTGCGGGAGAGCATGGGAGTGCGGGAGAGCATGGGAGTGCGGGAGAGCATGGGAGTGCGGGAGAGCATGGGAGTGCGGGAGAGCATGGGAGTGCGGGAGAGCATGGGAGTGCGGGAGAGCATGGGAGTGCGGGAGAGCATGGGAGTGCGGGAGAGCATGGGAGTGCGGGAGAGCATGGGAGTGCGGGAGAGCATGGGAGTGCGGGAGAGGCATGGGAGTGCGGGAGAGCATGGGAGTGCGGGAGAGCATGGGAGTGCGGGAGAGCATGGGAGTGCGGGAGAGCATGGGAGTGCGGGAGAGCATGGGAGTGCGGGAGAGCATGGGAGTGCGGAGAGCATGGGAGTGCGGGAGAGCATGGGAGTGCGGGAGAGCATGGGAGTGCGGGAGAGCATGGGAGTGCGGGAGAGCATGGGAGTGCGGGAGAGCATGGGAGTGCGGGAGAGCATGGGAGTGCGGGAGAGCATGGGAGTGCGGGAGAGCATGGGAGTGCGGGAGAGCATGGAGTGCGGGAGAGCATGGGAGTGCGGGAGAGCATGGGAGTGCGGGAGAGCATGGGAGTGCGGGAGAGCATGGGAGTGCGGGAGAGCATGGGAGTGCGGGAGAGCATGGGAGTGCGGGAGAGCATGGGAGTGCGGGAGAGCATGGGAGTGCGGGAGAGCATGGGAGTGCGGGAGAGCATGGGAGTGCGGAGAGCATGGGAGTGCGGGAGAGCATGGGAGTGCGGGAGAGCATGGGAGTGCGGAGAGCATGGGAGTGCGGGAGAGCATGGGAGTGCGGGAGAGCATGGGAGTGCGGGAGAGCATGGGAGTGCGGGAGAGCATGGAGTGCGGGAGAGCATGGGAGTGCGGGAGAGCATGGGAGTGCGGGAGAGCATGGGAGTGCGGGAGAGCATGGGAGTGCGGGAGAGCATGGGAGTGCGGGAGAGCATGGGAGTGCGGGAGAGCATGGGAGTGCGGGAGAGCATGGGAGTGCGGGAGAGCATGGGAGTGCGGGAGAGCATGGGAGTGCGGGAGAGCATGGGAGTGCGGGAGAGCATGGGAGTGCGGGAGAGCATGGGAGTGCGGAGAGCATGGGAGTGCGGGAGAGCATGGGAGTGCGGGAGAGCCTGGGAGTGCGGGAGAGCATGGGAGTGCGGGAGAGCATGGGAGTGCGGGATATCATGGTGAAAGGTTGAGATGGGGGGTGGCGGGTTGGCCAGCGTATCGAAGAGGGCGGGAGGGAGGCACGCGGATGGTGAGAGGCGTGGCAGGGCGGGAGGGCGGGTGTGAAGGAAGATTGATGACCGGTGGAGGAGCGAGGCATGTGGGGAAGTGAAAGAGCGACAACTCAACACCCACCCCCCGTGGCGCACCCAAAACCCGTGGCGCACCCACCACCCGTGGCGCACCCACCACCCGTGGCGCACCCACCACCCCTCCCGCACTCACCACTGGCGCATGGCGGCTCTCCCCCTCTCCATTTCCGCCTCCCCCACCTCCGCCACTACCCTCACTGCGCCCCTCCCCCTTTTGCTGCTGGCGGCCGGGCCCCCAGGCAGCGACACACGCCTGGGACAGGCGTGGTGAGAGGGTGGGGTGGGAAGAGGAGAGAGGGGGGAAAGAAGGTGGGGAAGTTGGGGGGTGCGTGAGCGAGAGGCGGAGGGAGCACGGAGTCCGTCTGTGCGACCAGCAATGCGACCAGCATCGCTACATTGCGACGAGCATTGCGACGCAGCAACCTGCTCGCCATCATCGTCGCATCAACGAGCTCGGGCGACAACGGCCCGCTTTTTAATCGCCGCACATTGCCAGTTCGCGATATAAGCGCTAATTGCTGTCGACTGTCGACGCGGCAGCAGCATTCGGATCGCGAGTTGGTAGCAAGCTGAAAGAAGCGGTGTGCGACGAGGAGAACCCTCGAGCGCGAGCGAGAATCGTCGCACGGCGTTCAGACTAAGCGGGGCGTCGCGCAGCCGGCGGTCCCACCCGGAAGCATTCGACGCGCAGTGCATGTCGCGCAGCTTGGCACCGCTCGCCCAGCGAGGCCGTACCTGGGGGCGGCTAGCAACGGCCGGCCGGCATGTGAGGAGCGCAGCGACGTGCGCGCCGATGTCGGGGCGAGCGAGGCTCGCGGAAAGGGCGACGAAACGAGCAGCATGTCCATGGCGCAGCCGCGCGCTTCGTGCTAGGTGCTGGAGGTGGGTGCGTGCCTGGTGGGTGCGAGGTGGGAGGTGTGGATGGGACGGACGAGGTTGGATCACAAAGCGAGGTGGCAAAAATGGAAGCTTTGAGAGGGTGAGCTGGGTGATGTGGCGGGGCATGAGCACAGTGCTGGGGAACCACTCGTGAAACAAACAGGGGTTTGGTATATAATCACAAAATCGTTAAACCCATTTAGAATGTTTGTCCTTCCTAAATAATTATAGTGTGTATATGACTTCTTACATTAACAAACGCAACATCAATATTGGAATAACCGAAAGGTGTTTTAGCATTTCAGAAGGTGTAACCTTACCGCACCTGCCACTAGCGAAGCAACACCTGTACGACTACTGTGTTAGCCCATACAGAGCACGCAAGGTCTACAGTTGCAAATCAACTTTCGCAACTGTTAACCAGGGCCTATCATTCACTTTTAGGCACGTTAATGCATCAGGGTCCCTCTGTGTAGAATCCCTGGTCGTCAGTGTTCCCCCCCAAAAAAAGCCTGAAAATTCAGTGTTACCTTAAAAAAAATCTGATGCATCAGTGTTCCCTTTTTGTAAATGTTGATATTGAACTTCAAATAAGATAACACTAACTAGCTAGCAAGCATCAGCAACAGAGGGTTCATTTACTCATCATCATCACTGCAGTTAGCCTCTGGTCAGGCCTCTCAATATCAGGGTAAAACATCCTTATGGCTCTTACTATAAGGGTGGGTTTAGGTGATGACCCTTGTTTTTAAAAGTTGTTTTATGAGGCACCCTTAGCCGAAAAAGCGCTCATTTTGTTAACACTGATATTTAAGACAGGCCTGGTGTACTCGCCCTGATGACAAAGACTAGTGTCGCGTACCACCCTGATGCGATTTGACGCGGCGGAGGGGGGGGGGGGGGGGGGGGTACTGACGAGATTTGGGCCGTGATTAGCGGCGTTTTGCCTGAGTCAGCAGATGTGCGAGTCGCTTTGACGGCTCGCGTCGCCACTGCCACAGTCCCGTAAACTGTACCTGGCTCACATGCAATTTTCCCGGCTGGCAATGCCGCGCAGCGCCACACACACCTGCTTCGTGCAGGAGGTGTGTCCTGCTTGGAAGCATCTTCTTCCGTCCCCAGCAGGCCCCCATCCACGGACCAGTCTCTCCCACGCACCCAACCCAGTCCTCCTCGTTTCATTTCTCAATTCTGCCTCCTCGCTATCTCGTCTAGTCTAGGGTTTGGAAACCACCCCACCACCACGCTCTCATACAGCTAGCGTAGGCCCAGCTCCTGCATCCACCCCTCTGGCCCTCGCCATGGCTGCTGACGAAACCACTGATGGTGACAACGAGGCATGTCGTCAACTCCAAAAATCACCCCCGCGAACGGGCCTCAGCTTTCTACGAACCCCCGCTAAGAAGCTGTCAGATCCGGAGCCCGTAGTTGCTTCAACCGAGGATGAAACCCGCGTGGATGAATCGAGGCATGACCTGCGCTCACCTGAAGTTTGCACTACCACGACAGAACCTTCACCTCCAGAAGCGACGGCGCCTGAAACGGAGATAGGCGATGCGGCTGGCGACTCTGCGAACAAGAAGCGCAAAGAGTCAAGCGGTGGCAGTGCTAAGCAGTGGTGGCGACAACCGAAGCCCTCTTTGAAGCGGGCGGCACGTCCAATCCGACGAGTGGAGGACGAGGGGAGTGATGACAAGGAGGATGAAGACGGCCTGCCGACTGTCGAAGAGATGGCCCGTTACCCCGAAGTCGCTTTCGCTAAAGCGCATAAGCGATTTAAGACATCATGGGAGTCTTTGTTTCCGTGGCTAATTTTAACTTGTAATGACGTTGGCTTCCCCATTTTGAGATGCAGCACGTGCTTGGAACATGGAGCTGGAGGCGCGAAAACGGCTTATGGCAAGGGAGGCAGTGGAGGGCGTGACATGCAGAAGGGGAGCATCCGGACGCACCAGCGCTCCACCGCACACCAGGACGCACACGCCGAGATGAAGTCGAAGGAGAGCCGGAAGCTTTGTCAAATGCTGCTGAGCGAGTTCGAGGGGTTGGATCGCAGCATGCTTCACATCATCACCGCTCTCAAGACTACCGTGTACATCTGCAAGTCGGAGGCGCCAATTACCTCCTATGTGGGCACCATCAAGTTCATGGCCGAGCTCGGAGTCCCGAACCTTCCCTTGGATTCCAAGGGAAACTACTTTTTGGAGTAAGTTTCGGGGTACGAGCTGTCGTTGTACTTGTTCCGTTACAACTGACTTGATTGGCAACGTGCTAACCTCTGTGCTTCTATCATGCAGGTACGGTTTCAAGGAGCTACTAGATGCTGCTGCGAAGTACATGCGGCAAGAGCAACTGAAGCAGATCGAGGCGAGCCCGTACATCTCCATTCAGCTCGATGAGAGTACTGACAAGGCGCGCGGCAAGCACCTGATCGTCTACGTCCACTTCATGAAGGAGGGAGCGAGCGTCTGTGAGTTCCTCACGCTGCTGAGAGTTGACAAATGTGACGCGGCAAGTTTCGTCGACGTGCTACTGACCCACCTTGACGCCGTGGGCATTGACATGTCCAAGATCGTTGGAATCAGCACCGACGGCGCCAGAGTCATGACGGGCACCAGCAATGGTGTTGTGGCGCGACTCCGGCTGCATCGCACATCGGTAAGTCCGTCTGTGTTATTGGCGTTATGGCAGGTATGTAGTGTTGATCATGTACTGCCCACTCACTTCAATCGCTCGTTTCCTCTGTTCTACCTTGAGCAGGGAGGCGTTGGCCGCGAAGGATGCCACTGAGAAGGTGACGGAGTTCAACATCATAGACCAGGCGGTGCGCAACGTGGCGGAGCAGCTTTCTAGGTCGAGCAACTGGCACCGGCAATTCGAGCACCTTCAGGAGTACATCTGCGAAACCAACTTGGAGCTGCAGGGGATCCACGACGTGCGATGGCTCTCTAGAGGAGAGGCAGTCGGTTTGCCAAGGTTCTGCCGGCGACGATCGTCCTGCTACACGATTTCAAGCACGCACTCTATGAAACGGTCACCTCTTTCAAATTCCACTTCATGCTTTTCTTCCTTGCAGACATTCTTGCCGTGCTCAACGAGCTCAACGCCAAGTTCCAGAAGCAGCAGGTGACATGTAGAGTGTTTTGGTTGTACAAGTTTGCGGTTGTTTCACTGCCATGTTCCCGGTTGTTGAAAGTGGCGGTTGTTGTGCGCCGTTCTGACCCATTGTACATCAACCTCTGGCAGCAACTATTCATCCCACCCCCACTCACAGGTTGACATCACGGTGGTCGCGGGGGAGGTGTCGCTTGCTTGCCGGACGATCGAGGTGCGTTACGTAGACTGCGAGGATCGTTTCGGCAACGATCAGTCGCCCCTACTCTGCGCGTTCTTGAAGAAACACGGCACCCCCCAGCACCGCGAAGTCACCGTCAAAGGCGTGGACCAGAACGGCGACGCTGCAGAGCACGAGTTCGAGCTTCACGAGCGCAAGATCCCTGGCCATAAGACTGGCGGGGACTACTACTCATGCAAGGCGGTGTGCCAGGAGTTTGCGAAGGTCTGCGTTGCGCGACTGGAGTTCCGCCTGGAAGACCTCAAGAACCTGGCCGGTTCCAAGATTTTCCGGCCGTCGTGCTATCCCGACGACAACGCGCAGCGGATGCCGCGAGTGGTTGGGCATGCTAGACCACATGTTTCACTACCGCCTCTTTGGTACGCCACCTGGTTGTGCCTGTAATGTGCTGTCTGCTCTGTGTGTGTGGTTACCTTGGTGTGCTGTTAAACACCTCCCATACGCCCCGATTGCCCCTCTCACTGCTCTGCCCTCCCATCCTGGTAGGTGTGTGCTTCAAGGCGTGCAAGAGGGAGCTACCGTTGTTTCTGCACACCATGGATACCAACCACGGCAACATGACCTTCCACAAGTCGCTCTCGATCATGCTCCAGTCAATTGACTACATGGGAGCGTACCCGAACCTTGTGCAGCTGTGGCAGGCCGTAGCTGTGCTCCCCCTCAGCACGTTGGAGTGCGAGCGTGGCTTCAGTCGCCAGAACCGTATCAAGACGTGGAAACGGACCTGCCTGGGCGACGCCAAACTGGGCGATCTGATGACTGCAGCCCTCCTGCCCAGTGATGGTCTGAACTGGGTGAATGTGGTAGCCGTGTTCAATGCAAGCAAGAAGCGCCGTCCTGCCCAGGAGTTTCTGTATTGACTCATGTGCTGCTCTGCTCCCTTGCTAGGAGTATTCTATTGGAACCGGGCCTGACCAGACCATCCCATATGTAGGTCCTGCTGTTGTTCTAGTTCTAGTCATATATTTTATCGTACTTTGCACGTCATGTCAACCTAAACATTAAATGTTGGTTAAAAAAAATGGTACAACTAACCGAGGACCACATCACACTGACGAGCACGAGTAACAATGCAGCCAACACTGATCAACAAGACTGACATGGCTGCCCCACCCTTACTGAAAGACCAGCTTTGGCAAACTGCCCTTTCGACTAAGAGTGCTTCCAAACCTATCCAGGGGCCTGCCTCTGGTTCTTCCAACTCCTCCTCATCTGCCTCCTTTCCCTTGCCATTGCCACTGCCCCCCCCCTCTCTTGCTGGAGGTGCTGCTGCCACATTCAGTGTCAGTTTTGTTACAACGTAGTGTAATCAGTGTCCCTTAAAAAAAAAACCTGAAAGTTCAGAGACATCTGGCCCCTAAAGGCTGTTAAATCGGTCCCCCAAAAAGCTGAACACTAGAAAATCAGGATCGGTACAAACAAATCTATGAAAATAAGGAATTTTAGGGCAAAAATCCCCATATCGTAGGGCCTGCGGTTAACCGACCTACCAAGATGTTGCGAACTGCTTTGCATGTCGCAACCGTCTTGGAGGTTCCGCGCTGGAACGAGGTAACTGAAGGGACCGCATTGTCACTTCTACTGTAGCGATATGTTATTACGAGTTACAATCTG